GTTACTTAATTAATCAAGAAGTGACCATTATGTTTTTAATCAAAATTTCTTGCAAAAATGCACTATAATAAGAAAACACATAATTATTACTTGATTCAATAAATTACATATCTTGAGACTTCTTATCAACATGCTTAATTAAAAACATAAACCAAAACAAAGTTTGTATGAGTCTCCCATTGAAATCCGAAACAATGTTTCTTTGGATCTCCCACTAATTGATTAGTCTCTTCAAGATTGGAAAAAAAAAATTTATGTATTTAAAATATTATAATAATTTACCCAAATTAAAAAAAAAAAGAAAAAATTGAAAAGAAGAACCATCTTCTTCCCTGTGACCTTCCCCTTCCCTGCAACACAAACACCCTATCCCACCTCCCCCGCAACCCCCCACCCTACCCCCACCTTCTAGGAGATCACCGCCACGCCCAAAAATCCCACCCGAGCCCAGAAACCATTCCCCCTGACCCACTCCCTCTCCTCTGCCCCACCCCAACTTGTACTTTTTCACTTCTTCTATCTCCTTCCTATCTTTCTTTCCCTCCGTCATTGGCGTCGACCAATGCTTTAAGCTCCCAGCTTTCAAACTTCCATCGCCTCACCAACTCCCATGACCAACTTTCTTTCCGTAAGTTATCTCTCTCTTTCTCTCTCTCTCGATACGTTTTGGCTTAGTACCAGTAGCAATCCTTTCAATTTTGTATGCAAGTATGTCTCGAATTGCATAGAAAAATTATGGGTTTTTGGAACCAAGATAGAACGGAAATTGGGTTCCTTTTCATACCAATTTTATGCCTTTATTAGCAAACACTTAAGGAAGATTTGTAGCTTTGGCAGTGTGAGAAATTATGGTTGGCATGTTGGGCCATGTTCTGGGCATTGAAATTTGATGCCCCACCCGCACCTCCCCAGCAACCCCCCATCCCACCTTCTCCCTCTCCTCCACTCTCTTCTTCACCACCAAAGCCACATTTGCATCCTAATTCCTTCCTCTTCCCTCCGTCCCCCCACCTTCACCCCCAAACCCAAAGCTTCCCCCCTCTCTCTCTGCGATTCAAACCCTAATCTTCTCTCTTTGCGATTCAAGCTCGTAAAAACCCAAATTGAAAAGGTTAAAGGCGTCGGGGCCTTGAAAGGTTGAGAAGCGTGAGGGTGCGCCACCGAAGAGGGAGGAGAGATCATCAACGAGATTGGTAGGGGCGGGAGTGGGATCGGAGGCGAATGAGGAGAAGAGGAGAGGAAATCCACTGATGGGCGTCGGAGAAGGGGAAGGAGAAGAAAGGATTGGGGGAAGGGGTGGGGGGCTTGAGTTGCAGGGTAGGATTTATGGGTTATTGTTGTTGTTGTTGTTGTTGTTGTGTGTGTGTGTGTGTGTGTTTTTTTTTTTTTCAATAGGTAAATTATTATATTATGTTAAATGCATAAATGTTTTTTTTGTCACGTGGCACAAATGTGGCAGCCACGTCAGCACTTAATGGACCAATAGATGGAAAATGTAACGGATGTATTATATTGAAATAAAATAGTACTCGAGGTATGAAAATGAAATGTTTTGAAGATGTGGTATGAGGTTGCAATAGACCTTAAACTTGAGGTGGTAAAATGTAATTTAACCTTTTTCTTTTTCACCTAGTGTTCTAGTTATTACTATTAGGGCTCGTTTGTTTGACTGGATTAGGGAGGACTAGATTGGATTAGACTATAGTCCATTGTTTGGTCTGCACCAGGATTAGGTTTAATGACCTTAGCATGGACTCGCTCAGATTATACGCCTCCTTAGCAGTTCTTAACGAGGATCCCCAATTTTGGGCGGACTCGTAAGCCAGAGAAAACCACGAGAGATTCTGTAGTCCAAGAACCCCCTAACGTTGCTCGTCCTGCTCGTCCTCATCTCTGCGTCTTCCCTCATCGTTGTCATTGCCCTGCTCCCTCATCGTCGTCCTCCTCACCCTCATCTCTGCGGCTTCCCTCATCTGCATCTGGTCGGCCTCATCTGCTCCGAGTTGTCTGGTAAACTTCTAATCTTCGATTTATTTCGTCGATTTGTTTTGCAGATTGTGATATTACTAAGCTTTATTTGATTTTGTTGTTTTGGGTTTGAGAAATTTTCAATCATAGAACTCTGCACTTTAACAAATTAGGGTTTTGATTTTTAGGTCAAATTGAGATTAGAATTTGGGGTTTTTTCATATTTCAACTTTTCTTTCAAATCCGAACTTAGAAACGTGGGTGACTTTACCTGTTTTGTAGCCCTTCACATTGCGATTAAAATCATATATGTTTTGTAACGTGAAGTACCACAGATGACTGGTCTTGCATTCATGCTTGTTTATATTGATTATCTATTCCTTGCTTCACTAAGTTTATGGTACGTCTTTAAGGTATGTCAAAAAGGAATTGCAGTGAAGTATTTGATGGCTTTATAATGTTTTAGGATTGTGTATAGACTATAGAGCAATAATTTCTAGTTATATCATATGTTTGTCATGTTGTGCCTCTAGATGTTGAATTAGGTCCGGATTGATAGTCTAGCGAGAAAACAATTACTGGGTAAAGTAGGCAGGGCACAGTAAGTGAAGCGAAATATCTACAATTTCTGTATGCCTTAGGCATTATCTTTCATATTCCAGAACAATTTGGTAAGAGTAAACTAGGGAGGGCTTATAGGGTGAAACAACTAAAAAAAAATTCATTTTAAAGAAAAATGGTTAACAGTTAACTGGAATGTAGTGAGAAGGATACCCCTATGAGAAGTAACCAAGAAATGACTATCAGATTTGCTAGTACCTCTCCTTAAAGTAGTTTTGCCGGGTTCAGAGAGACTGGTCTCCAGTGCATCTATGACTTACTTTTCAATATGATCCCAAGGCTACATATAGACAAACACCATGAAAACCATCATATATGCTATTGATATGATTAATACAGTAAAAAACCTAAACAACTGGTTCACTCAAAGGGTTTAGACAGTGTATAACATATTCTTCATACTGCTCGGTATTCACATTCTACTACATCTGCTACGTGGTGCTTGTTTTAGTTGAATATAGGATTAGCATCATTAGTAATAAGGTTTGGGTGCTTGCTCATGTCTAGTTCTAACCTTCTTGATTTTGTTAGTATACAATAATTCTGCATGTACTTTGTAGTCCTGCTGCTGTTTGAGCTTTGTCATTGTGATTTTCGTTTTAAGCTTCGTAGTTGGCTTTTCAATTTGAAGTATTGAAACTCTACGCAAGCAGAAAGCCGCATTTCGTTTTAGATTTAGTCTTTTGAGCTATGGCTTTTATCTTGAAGCTCTGTTTGTCAATACGCAATAGTTGAGACCATTCATGTCGGTTTTTCTGTTGCATCATAGTTCTTAGCTACAACTGTTAAGACTAGAGGAAGACAATGATCTTTGCATATGCTATAGTTTCAAGTTTTTTTTTTTTGGCTTATGAACTAGTCTTTGCATATACTTACTTTTTGGTATCAGGTTGGACTAGCCATTTGGGAAGCTTGAAACTCTGGTGGGAAAGTTGTATGTGGTAAGAGAGATTTACACTCACTTTTACGACAAGATAGAGTGCAACTGCTACCCAAAATGCAGGCCATGTGAAATGAAATGCAGCTAAAAGAGTATGCAAATGCAAAGCCAAAAGGACCCAACTACTGAGCCTATATCCACGATGTTCCATTCCCTGATAAGCTAAGCATGCCGAAACTAAATTCAAATGGTTCTCTTATCTCATCCAATCCATGCAACAAAATGTTTCAACTTAGTTTGAATGAGTCAACGATCTTGGAAGTATGAATTTTGTAATTTATGTATTTAGTTCTTAGTTATCTGTTATGTTTTAATTTGAACAGTTTGGTTTCATCTCAAACTCTCTGTCAACTCTATATATATAATGAAAATATACAGATGGCTAATTCATCTAGCCTAATTATACTTGAACTGAGATTTCTATCTTGGCATCATCCCTCTCTGCGTCTAACGACAAACCTCTCAACTTTTTCCATGGATCTTGTTAATTGTACAACCTTAGGATATGGGTGTATTTTGTTCGTCCAATGCTACTCTTGAATCATTTATGTTTCCTTCATTGGCAAGAAAATTTGGTTTTTGTGTTTTTATTGAATCTCACTCTCATCCAATATTATTAATTTTAATAATATCTTTAATAAAAAAAAAGCAATTACAATGGAACAATAATGTAGTCCTAGTTTAAGCAAATACCAAACTAGTGACATTACTGTTTTTCATTATCCTGCTTCTTAGTCTGACACTGCACCAAACGCTTCACTAAGCTAGTATAGCTTAGTCCTTGAAGCTAGTCCAGTTCAAGATAGTCTGGTGCAATAAACGCACCCTTAGAACCTAGTAGCACATCACTAACCATATCATTATCATGATGACTAATTGTATCTCTCCAACTTGATCATTGACAATAGCATAATTTTTAACCATGTCTTGATTGGTAGTGAAACTTTGTGCTTCCGAGGGTTTTCTTTGATACATGATTTTCATATATCAGTGATTAAAATATTTGTATTCATAAGAAGTGCGTAGATAATCATACACCTTAGCCTATGGGGATTAGACTATTCTTGAAGTGATTCACAGAACCAATTCCTCGTGCATTGTGTGAGATTTTACAGTTTCGTTATTTATTCTGTTATGTTTGTTAAACTTTGGGTTGTGGCCCTGTGGATGATCTCATCTTCTATATTTATGATTGAGAAAATGAGGCACGAACCATTTCGTTATTACTCTCCCGGCCACTTTGTGTATCAGAGATCCTTCAACTAGTTCTCACTTAAAATCATATATACAAAGTTTTCTCAGGAATTAGAAGGTATGTTGTTATCTTGTTGCTGCATGAAGGGCATTTGTACTGCTTGATCCGTTAGCGACGTAAGGGTCACCCAATTATTTCCCCAAGGAACAAGATTCTTTCATCAAATAAAATCCTGTATAACTATTAGCAGTAATATAATGCATTTGGAGATGTAAATAAAAAGTATTCAACACACTAAAATTACTTGGATAAATATATGAAAAGAGTGACACATGTTTCATAGGAACAAACAATTGAAAAATCTCTCTCTAAAGTAGTAGCATCCTGGAAATGGAAAGCATGTTTAGGAAGATAGCCACCACAAGCAAACTATGAAAGCAGCATTACAACAAATGGTCTTAAACAGATCGGACTTTCAAGAATAAACTTGGACAGTATTTATCCAACTATCGGGGGACGTTTCCAATTAATCAGGCCGGGCTCTCTTGTTGCTGCATGAAGGGCATTTGTACTGCTTGATCTGTTTTGCTCGTGCAGGGGTCATCTTCACGCACTTCATGTGGAACCACGTCTCACAAAAATCACAGAAAATCCAGGGTTCGTCCAATGAGGATGGTCCGCCTCCACCACATGCTCCACATGTCTCTTCACGTTCATCCTCCTCCTCTTCATCCAAGCCCTCATCTTCGTCTTTAGGCTGCAATACTTCCGAATGTCTTCCTTGAGATTCGGACCCTCGCTGCTTTTTTGTCGCAAAAATGGATAATGAAATTGTTTCATGTCAGTAACACCTATTCAAATAACATCCACAGCTGCTACAATAATGAAACCATGCTTAAATTGCGAAACAGGGAATATAATAGAAGGTCAATACCAGTCACACCGCCACTGAGCCACGAACAGATTCATATTTTAATTCACAAATGATAAAAGAACTTTGCGCTTGAATAGGGGATAATGCATCTTTGATTGAGGCTACATATCTACGTTACCAAAATTCTCTTTCGGACATAAAGGGAAAGCCAGAAACAGATACATGTAGAAACAAGTTATATCAGCCACCGAACAAGAAAAGGTAGTCAATGTGACCTTCCCTGATGGGCAACAACATATAGACAGTAGCCATAAACCTAGGCTCCCCATAAATACGGTACCCTTATATGTAATTTTCTTGAAGTGTTAAGTACAAATGGAATGTAAATTTTTTACCGCTTTGGAGTTTGACTTGGATTTGTTGCTGCCATGATTTGAAGATGACTTCTCCTTTGCTTGTTTTTTTGCAGTACCAGTCACAACTTCAAATATTGTTGGCAGTTCATTAATCATATTAAAAAGTCGCTTCCTGCAGCAAAAAGGAAACAACAATACATGGAACAGAAGCCCAAAACCACATGGAACACTGAAAGAGTTTGATTTTAGAAATGGAAACAAAAGCAATTGAAAACCAGCTTAATTTAAACAAAACAGAAAACCTAATCGAATATAAGAAAAAGGGAGTGGCTAGCATCTGTTTTAGTATAGTTCACTATCATACTGAAATTACAAAGGCAATGAAAATATTAAAACAAACAAAAATAAAATCAACTTATGTAAATACATCTACCAACTACCAATTCAGCATTCCATTCGGAAGGAAATACACTGAGAAAGATACAGCGATGATTATCTATCAATAACTTCAGAGAGAAATACATTTGCAAACACAAAATGAACTTTATTCAGTCATCAGCATCCGATCATGAGAAACTGTATACAGAGCGGATGCAACTTACCTGTCAGCCTTGTCAAACCCAAATCTGGCACCAAAGTAGAAGGCAACAGAAACTAGCCAGGCATCACTATGAACAGCAACCAAAGATAGCCAGTCTTTTTCTGCCATGCCATCTCTTGCAAAGTTGATACCCAGAGCAGGCTCTGGCAATTCAGGAGGCACTTCTTCAGCAGGTAGGTTGACTTCCCACTGCTCACTAGGATATCCATACAAGGAGAGATTCTCCTTCTCTATAAGTAGAAAATAGCTCATAAAGATGGTTGAAACAGACAGCATAAACATAGCCACAAATAGGAAGTAACAACGAAAAAAATGACAATTGAGTAGGAAACCCTATTAAATACACAGCTTTAATTTCCAAACAGATCTGAACAGTAAGTATCACTGGTCAATTTTATTAAGGCCTTGAACACAAATGAAGGTATTACCCGTTCAAGGTAAAGAATTACCAGTGATTCATGGAAACCATACAAAACCATTAAAACAAAAGTGCACAAGGACAGAAAAAAGAACAGGAACACTATATCATAACAAAAAAATAAATCATCATTGTCATCTCCATATCACAAAAGCCTTGTCCAGAATGCAACATATTTAAACTGTAAATGGCAGTTAATTCTCCTTGGAGTACTGCTCTTAAGAAAATTAAATATAACTCATAACACAGCACAAGCATGGATGGCACAAATTTCTATTCAAACAATCACTTGGACAAACCACAGCATGTGCACACAAAGAAAAGAAGAGAGTTTCTTCTTAGTTCTCTCTAAAATCTTTAATTAGCTATTTCCCTTTATACATTATTTCACCCATTAGAATGAAACAACATGATTCATTTGCGAATTCCAAAATCCAAATTATTGACCAAAGATAATCCTGCAAATGCTAAAGTCATTAACTTCTTTTTTTTCAACAAGTGACAGACTGAGCAACTCCATTAACTTATTTGAAGAAAGGCTTCTATAAAGAGCCTTGTTGCATACAGCTAATTAGATGACCAATACAATATATTCCTGAAAGTAGTGGGAAAGATGTAGTGACAACCTAGGTAAGTTCCAAATTTGTTGCAGATCTCCATTTACAACTCCAAGAAACAAAGGAACAGTTCATACATAGATCGCATGTTAAATGCCACATTCATGAAAGAAATTTATAAGGCATAGAAAACTTACCAGGATCACACATCTGAAAGAATTTTTCAACATCTGCAACAAAAATTGAAATCATATAAATCAATCGACAGTCAAACAAAAAAAAAGTAGCTCTGAATGAAAACTACTACAGGTCCAACACAATTTTCAAAATCCCTTAAAAAAATAAAACTAATGATCCATTATATGAAAAAAATTACAAAACTCATGCAGAACGGGATGTACTTTTGTCTTGGCTCTCCATTCAACGAATCACAAGATGTTAATCTAGTCCGACTGTACTCAAATCTAGTTCGTAACATTTTGGTTTTCTGTATCCCTAAGCTTCTTCACTTCCAAAATAGAAGTTCACTTCTATAAAACAAAAACAAACAAAAAATATATTCATTCACTTTTTGGTTCATGAGTTCTTGAAACCTGTAAAGGTAAGTCGTCCTCCAACAAATTAATGAACAAATATTTGCTCCAGTTAAGAAAGCTTCATTTTCGCACAAACTGGAAAAACCTGCATTTTCTTTTCTCAGTCAAAAAAGATGCGGCCGAAAAACTATAAAGCCAAAAGCACTTCTGTTCTACTCAACTCTTTTGACAAGTAAACAGAGATTGCATGAACAAACAAACAGTTCTGAAGAGGTTTTTAATCCTTTTTCAGCTTTCTCACAAAAGCTAAACATTTTTCCCCGTTACACAAGACAAAGTAAAACGTCAAATTCAGAAACATATTTTCCTGCATTCCTCTTTTCACTCCCAATACAAGAAACACTAAATACATTGCAGAGACAAATGTGTTAGAGAACAAAACATAAAACACGAACTAGTCTGAAATTACTTCCAAATCATCGACAAACACAACCACCATACATGAAATCACATTTTCGCTTCTCCCAAGCACTAAAGCTGAAAACCAAAGTAGAATTCCAAACCCAAAATAATTGATTTTACCATCCTCAACCTGCTCGAAACTCAAAAGCACATAACAGAAATGAAAGAAAAGGGAATAACTTCAATCATAAATGAACTTAAAGCCCTCAATTCAGTGAATTCACTAATCTTCTATCCTTTCCTTCCTCAGTTTTCTCGGAAACCAAAAAGAAAATAAGAACTGAGCTAAACCCTATTCTAAAGGGAGAAAAGTGCCAATTCCCTATCACTCAATTTCTAATATGAAACAAACAAAATTAATCCAAACCCAAAACAACATTAAACGTGAATATTGAAACTTTACGGCCTTTTAGCATTCTGAATTTGCTCTCAAACCAAACACAGAAGCTAAACCCAGTAAAAAATATTATCCATTTCTTGTCAATTCAACTAAAAAAAACAAGGGGAGGACCAAATTAGAGGTCTAGTTTCCAAATCCCAAACCAAATAATCCCACTAATCAGTAAAAAAAAACACCAATTTCCCCTCTGGGTTTCCTCCAGGACTAAATTTGAACTTAAATTAGTAATTTAAAAAGTTTACACAAATGAAAGATTCGAAGTAAAATAGATAAAGACAAAAAGGAAATTACCAGAAGTGAGAGCCTTGATCATTCCAGATCTGCGGCCCTTGAAATCTCTGAAAACCTCCTCGACCGTTCGAGGATTGTAGAGCGCGGCATCAGCTCCCTTCATTGTTTTCTCTCCCTCTCTTTCTCTCTCTCTGAGAAAACCAAGTCAAAACTTATGAGAGAGAGGGAGAGTTTTGCGAAGGTGTTAATGAAGGCGGAATTGCAGTGTTGGGCCTTGAGTTGTGTTAATTTCGGATTTAGTGCTTGATATTTGCAGTTAGATCCTTGTGTAAGGTTGAATACTTTTTCTCTCCACATGTTTGGTTCAGCTTTACAATTGGTCTTTGTGTTTTCAAATTTGTCAAGTTTTCTTTTTGGTCAAACATAAACTTCAAGAAAATGTACAAGATAAACTTAAGTATAGGTCGCTAGTAGGTCACAAAGATGTTCAAGCAAAGCACATGATAGCCCAATTGAAGTTTGTCTATTGATTGCTACAACAACCATGTAAATCACCACTTCGCTGTTTGGATTGGATCAACCAATATACTGTTAACACCAACAAAAGACAAGGGTCATAAAAAAAAAGAGCATATACAAAAAAGTCCCAAAAGAAGAACAAATCTAACCCCTAATTTCACAATAATGAAGATGCACAAAGAAAATAAAAAGTTGCCTTTAAAAACTCAACCAAAGAAAAAAGCAGCCAGAACCAAGAACCGTATCCACCAACTGAGGAACATCAAAGGTAAACTTTCAATGCCAACAAAGAAAGACGATAAAACACCATCAGAACAGTAGAAGGAGGCGACGCAAAGACCCAAACCAGCTATAAAGCGGCTTTGCACACCTTCATATGAGTGAGCGACCACTTGCTCTCGAGGTGGGTAGTAAATACAATGGCTAGTAGAGGTTTCTCATTTGAAAGCGAGCATTTATTAGACAAATGAAGGATTTGTAGACGAAGAAGTGGGAGGATAAAGGAGAGCTCTCGTGTGAGGCACAAAAGAAGAAAATCTAAGTAGTTGTATGGATAGGGATTATAAATAATTTTGGGGCTAATTTACATCTGGTGCAGCAAGCTGAAAAACTCCAAAAGGTGAGCGAAAAACCAAAAAAATGGGGAGAAAACACCTAATCTGAAAACCGAGCTCAAGCCCACCACCACCGAAATTATAGGATTGAGGCTCACTACTGTCAGCTCGCAGTTCAAGAGAGAGATAGAGAGATGGCATACTCTATGGAGATGGAGAGGTAAAGAAAAAAGACAATTTCATCAAACCATGGTTGTGGGTAACCTGCAGAAATGGTGTGTTCTGATTGAGAGAGAATGGTGAAGGGGTGGCATATGCGAGGTAAGGGAAGAAGGGGATGGTGAAGATGAAAGGGATGTTAGAGAGTATGTGGGTTGAAGATGATACGCGAGGTTAGGAAAAGGAAGTGGAGAAAGGCGAGGCAGGGCGGGGGGGGGGTGTTTGAGGGACGCAAGGCACGTGGTTAGGAGAAGGGGAGGGAGAGCTGTTGCCGACCCCAAGCTGGAACAAGAGGTCGACGACGGTAGGTTTACTGATTTAGGGTTTTTGGAGGGAGGGAGAAGGGAAGAGAGGTAGGGCACTCAAAGTCAGGCTTTTTCTACATATGATTTGACAATTTGTACTTCCTTTTCTGAGCAGTTGGCGAAAGGGAGGTTTGAATCTCAAATTTATTTTAAAGTTGGGAAGAAAGTATCACTAGACTAAGATATAGTTGTAATTGGTGCTAAAAGAGTGTCAGGGCTCAAAATTTTCATTAAGTAGCCTAACTATATTCGGAATCTCAATCATTATATATTCGTCACAAATCAAGCTTAAATTCTTGCGTAAAGTACAAAATGAGGGGTATGCAAATTCACAATCATGCCACGCCAATAAAAATTATAATTTATAATTCAAACATTCGAAAAATCACTGTAAACCCATGCAAAATCACGCATATTCATTATGACAAGCTACATCGAAACAAGATTATAATATTAATACATTAACATTTTAATTCGAATTCATACCAAACATGTGACACGCTTAAATGGGCCCAAGCCATATAATAGGCTTGCCGAGTGGGTTGTGGTGTGGATGGTTACCAAAGTTCACTGGGCCTAAGTGGAGTTAAAGTTTGTGAAGATTTTGGGCTGCTTGGGAGTACAAAAAATTCAAGTCCACAACTTCAAACCAACTAAAAGCATTTGAACCAAAAACCAAAGCCTAAGCTGACTAAGATCACGTTTGACAAACCAAACCTTGAGTCGCTCGCCTTGTGAATGAATCATTGGGAATGAATCATTCAACTACAAATATAGGTCAGGAGCTTTAAAGGAGAGATCCATCATAACACAAAGAGCCTCAAATCCCATAAGGCATCACTTTGCAACCTTAGTATTTTCCATGACCTCCCTCTGAGCATTCCAGCCATCAGAAACCTTATTACCACCCTAGGAAACCCAAATTATCCAACCTAGAACACCATACAACCATGCAAACTCTCTCTCTCTTTCATGCTAAACTGATGAATTTCTAGCTTCCACACCATGCTTCTCTTGACCAAGTCATTATTTGCCTAATCATGCTATCTTTGAGTCATTGATCTAACATGAATATTTCCTAAGACGTGCTAATTTTTTCGAGATATTCCGGGCCTTGATACGAAACCAATCCAAGGGAGACAAAAGGAAGTTCTCAAAACCAAAGTCCGCCTTGACCTAAAAAGTCCCCCAACAAGCTCAAAAGGACTATGAATTTTTAATAACTAATTACGAAAATTAAAACTTTGTAACAAGTTAACTAAGACTCTACAATTAACGAAAAGAAGTAATATAAAATTTTGCAAATACGAAATGCGTAAATTATAATAGTGAAATATGGGAACAAGATTTCACAAAGGCAAGATGACTAAGGGGGGGGGGGAGAGAGAGAGAGAGAGAGAGAGAGAGAGAGAGAGAGAGAGAGAGAGAGAGAGAGAGAGAGAGAGAGAGAGAGAGAGAGAGAGAGGTGGAGTAAATGAGAAATTGGAAATTGGGAAAAAGTAAATGTAAAGGGCATGAATCTTTACTTTTTACTTAAATATATTAAATAATAGGGCACGAAAAGCTTTATTGTGTCATTGTAATTAATCAAAAATTTTCATTTCTAAGATTAAAAGAACACACGCAGGTTGAACACAAAATTTTTTGTTTTAATTTTAGTAGGCATAAATATACTTTTCTATTTCTCTTTTTCGACATAAACTAATGTATCTTTTTATTTAGAGGGCACATTTGAGATAGTGGTCAACGAAATGTAAAAAGCACAAAATATGCATTTGTGTCCAAAGAAAATGAATAGAGCACAAATCAATTGTGTTCTTAGCCTTTTTTTTTTCCTTGTTTAGTAGTGGGTTTAGGTTTTGTTCTGTTTTGGTCCCTAATTCAGTACACTTGCATTTTCTGAAGTCACATTATAGTGCAATTATGAGTCCATAACAATCATCTTAAAGCAGCAAAGGAACCTTTCATTGTTTTTCTGAATAAAATAGCTTTCATGCTTTAGGAATTTCTAAAAACGCTTTTAACCGTTTAATCTACAATAGCGTTTGCCTTCGTCTTCTGGGGCTATACTACGTAATGAAGCTCTAAATGATCAACCTCCGATGCCTCCTCCTTCTGGGGCTCCGCCGACTGCTGAGGCTCCGTCGACTACTGAGACTTCTCTTAAGCAGCCTTTGTGAAGGCTCTCTTGTATTTTTCTACTTAATGTTCCTTTTTTTTTATGAAAATGAATGTAAAATACCTTGCATATCTGTCAATGTTTCAAAAATAAACCCACACAAAAAACAATTAAACAAGCAACAAATAAAAATGACAATCATGGAAAAATAAAACTGCAGAAAAGGGAAGGTTTTTAGGAACTCAAAACCAATCATGGAGCAATTCAAAAATCTTCCTTATTTGAATACATGGGTTGCCTCCAAAGAAGCGCTTGCTTTAACGTCTTCCAGCCGGACGAAACTTCCTTCTAAACTTGGATAGGGCCCATAGCATGGAATTGATCCTTGAATGGAAGGTGATACTTGACGTGATCCGACAGTGGTTTAAATTCTAGTGTAGGTGCCTGAATCATCAAAATCAGCAAGTTAGTATATAATAAAATCGAAGTTGGAAAAGCTGGCTTACTTGCTTGCTCCAACACAAACTCAATTACGAACACCACATTAGGGATATGAGACTTGGCCAAATTTGGTGTTTTGAGAGTTATGATTTTTCCTGTGTCATAAAATCCAACTTCTTTGGGAATTTTTGTCTTAAGTGTATCTTCTTTGATGAATTCTAGACATTCCCCATCCATTTCTTGCTATTGATTCTTTGGAAAGGTTTCGAAGATGCCTTTCTCACCCTCTTTTTCCTTGGATTGCATGATCCTGCAAGGAATAAGGACATTTGGTGAAACGGGGTCAGGATAAATTGAATTTAGGCTTACCTTGGTTGTAGTGGATGGCATAGAGGGCATATGGGGCTGCGGCAAGGGTGGTTCTTCCCTTGCCGTGGCCTTGTTATTCTCCTCTTCTTCGAGCAACAACTGTTCATCCATGTTTTGGCTTGGTTTGGATGTTTTGGGTTCACCTCCAACCTCCATAACACTTCCTAAAGTGATAGCATCATGGATTTCAAAATCTTCCTTCAAATTTTCAATAGTTGAGTTGGAGAGTTCACTTTGCTCTTGAATTTGTGCCATGAACTTCATAATCTGCCTAATTTGCTTCTCCAATTCACCCATCTTCTTGGCTTGATTTTGCATCTCTTTGTTTCGATTTTCTACTTCCTGGTTCAAAGAGGTGAGTAACTTATTAAACATATCATTATCCAAAGACGTACCTGAATTGAATTGGGCAGATTGTTGTGGTGGTTGTGATGGTTCATATGGCCAGTGATAACTCATCCGATGGCAGCAAATATTCTTCTTGTTGTGAACCCTGCGTCAACGAGGTTAGTACATCAAGAATTTCATCATAACTCATAGGCATACTTGAATTTGATTAGAATTGTTGTGGAGGAGGTTGTGGTGGCTGCATAGGTCTTGAATAGAACTCCTTTTCTTACTGCCAATATCCATCTTGTTGGAATTGTTGAGGTTCTCCCCACATGTAATCTGAATAATCTCTCCAATCCGAATTGTAAGCGTTGGAAAACATGTCCCATGATTGGCTATGGCCTTGATAACCCCAAGCATCTTCATTTGCAGTGAATTGAGAACATTGATGAGTTGGATATCCTTGCCCATAGGTCACACCATATGTAGGGACACTTTGCATTGTGGTCCTTTCGGGATATTGTGACAATTGAGAAGTAAGTTTCGCCAATTGAGCTTGAATGGTAGCAAAATCCATGTCTTACTTCTCTAGTACCTAAAATCAAGGAAACAAAACTAAATCAAATATCAAAAGTTAAAAAAAAAAAAAAAAAAAAAAAAAAAACACAAACAGAAACAAAGTCAATAACTAAAAACAAAAGACACGAAAATATACAAAAAGAAATAAGTAGGTAGGGATCGTTCTGGACCGGAGATTAGGAGGGCTTGCTAATAACCTCTAAACTGACTTAAAAACATAAAAACAAAGTTAAAAACACTAAAATAGACTAAAAAAACTCAAAACAAACTCAAAAGACTCAAAACAAGCTAAAAACGTCCAAATCTGCCTAAAAACACAAACTGGGCAGATTTGGACTTTAAACACACTTTTGGAAGAATTTTGGTTTTAACTTGGTTCGAAACACTTAAAAACACAAACTAAATCAGTTTCTAACTAATATGACTCAACAAGGTAAATGGGGGGGGGGTTTGATTTTGACGAAATTGAAAACAAAACAAGTAAATTAAAGAACTAATGAAATCTGCACGAATTTGGGTAAAACTATGGATGATAGGTTAGCTAAGAGGTTCTTTTCCACACATGACACACTTGCAAACAAAACGATGTCCAGTTGCTTTTCAATCAACATTAAACTCAACACCCCAGGTTAATTAAGTCCGCTTAAATTAACCTTTAAGTTCTCCTTAAGTTATTGAATTGGATGGGAAAGCGCATACAACAATTCAAGCATTCTTCAAAAGTCCTTTTCGTGAACAACACAATAAAGATACAATCAAAGATCATTAAGCATTATGAAAACTATAAGTATTGACGAGGCATTCGTTACTATGATGAGCATGAAACTCCTGCCAAGAATTCATTTAAAGCACTCCCTTATACTCTAGCATCATATTCATTCATGCAAACTAAGTGTGCACTCTTAATAAACATACACGAATAAGTTATCAATCAAGCAATTAAACAAATTGAATTCACAACTTATGAAATCACAACTGAAGGTAATCAATTCATATTGCAAGTATGTTCATGGCTTTGAATTCCCCCCTAGCTAAGGGGGGTTTAGTTCCTCATACTCACAAAGCAAAGATAAACAAATTTAGACATTGAAAACAAAAGAATAAAAACACCTAAAAACGCTTCAACAATCCAACTTGAATGACAAGCACGTCCCAGGGTCATCCTTATTCTCTTTGTTGCGGCACAAGGTGTGGTTTGATGGATGCATATGGATATATGGAAGGGAATGGCTGAATGTGTTTAGGTTGGATGGAGGTCAAGGCAAGGAAAGGGAAATGAAGGTGCATGAAATTGTGTTTTTGTTGTGGGAATGTGTAGAAAGTTAAGAAGAAAAGACTCTACCTTGCGGCAGAATGTGTCTTCCTCCCTTCTCCCTAAACTGTTCCCCCTGGGTGTGTCTTTGGATGGATATATTTATAGGCTAGGGAGAGGATGTAGTGGGTGGTGGTAATGAGTGGATGTAGTGGTAGGTGAATGTGTTGGGTGGTTGAAATGAGTGGATGTGTTGGGTGAAATGAGTGGATGTAGTGGTAGGTGAATGGATGTGTTAGGTGAAATGAGTGGATGTAGTGGTAGGTGAATGTGTTGGGTGGTTGTAATGAGTGGATGTGTTGGGTAAAATGAGTGGATGTAGTGGTAGGTGAATGTGTTGGGTGGTTGTAATGAGTGGATGTGTTGGAGGAAATGAGTGTGCTAAAATGGTTATTTATAGGGAGAGGATGATGCACAAACTTTAAATTTCGTCCATTCCTTTTGCTCCAAGCATATGTTATCCATTCCATGCCAAAAAATGCTCCAAAATGCTCCAAAATGCATTTCTTTGCCACATTAACCCTTTAGACCTACAAACACACGAAAATAGCTTAAAATACTAAAATAACTACGAACTAACAACATAAATGCCAAGAAACAAGCTAACTAAGTCGCATAAATATGCTTCTATCAATTACCTTAAATAATTAGCAAGTTCTACAAGAACCAACCAACTTCTGCGGGCTCTACTGATATAATTAAGTTGACAAATATCCGAAAGTGCCAACACACTATCAAAACAAACACCATGGAGTAAAGATGATCTATTGGTATGAGCACTTACCGCATCTTGTGGCCCAGAAGCAGTAGCCAATAAGCTACCTATGTATGGCTCAGAGTGGAAAGGAATATGACCCTGAATTAGTAACCAGAAAAGTATAAGATTCCCACCTCCATTTGCAACCAGAAAAAACGCAGGCAGGTAACAACTTACAATTGAACGGCTAAAATCAATTTGTGAAGGGAAATTAAAGCCCTGATTTGCCATTGGTGATAATGATTTCGTATGGCCCTCAACAGGCTTCCCTTGTGTTTCATTATATCCTGTACCAAGAACAAGATAAACCAAATAAGATATTGATCTCGTCTGGTAACAAAGTAATCAATCCGAAGAACAACGTATTTATTTGGGGAAGTTCTCCAATGGCTATCTTGGCATGCCAAGTCTGACCGCATTGATACAAGTTTTGGCAAATTGATAAGAAGCATAATATTAACTTATGAAGAGGAGTGCTATGGCCAATCACGTGTAAGGGGTGTGTGCAATTTCTGACCGTAGTAAAAGCCTAATACATACGGTCCAAGTCATGAAGTCTTAAACTTGGAAATCCAAGTCGACAAAGAAGAAAACGGGAACAAAAAATAAATAATATATATATATATATATATATATATATATATATATATATCAAGGGAGAAAAGAAAACACATGTTTCTTCCTACAAAAAGGCAGAAAACGTGGAGCAAAACTCCCCATCTTCTGCAAAACGTGGAAAGTTTTCTGTAAGATGTGGAAGGTTTTTTGTAGAGACGTGGGAGGTTACACAGTCAGTGGGAGAGGGTGGTGAAAAATATAGCCTCTATCTCCCCCACGTAAAGGCTCCAGAGGCTTCCTATGATGCCTATAAATAGGCATCAGTCGTAGTGGAAATGGGGGGGAAACGGAAACAAGAGAGGAGACGCTGCAGAAATTGAGAAGCACAGAGAATACAACAGAGAGGCAAAGCAAGAGAGCAAAGGCACAACAAAGGAAAAGAAAGAAGAAGAAGAAATCAAGAGCTACATGCAAGAACAAAGGGCAGGAAAAGCTACACAACATTTGAAGGTATAAAGCCATCTCATTTAATTTTTTGGGTTGTTTCCTTCTTCTGCTTTGTAGGAAGAAAAGAAGCACTTTGCTTCTTCAACTTTTCCCACTCCCCAGCATTCTCGAGTTGCAGTCCAGCAAAGCCAACGAAATCACCACTTCCGCTCCCTTCTGCTTCAGTTTAATCCCATGAATTTCTTCGGGGTCTAAACCACCCCATGGAGTTCCGATCAAATCCAAGAGCCCCGCTCTGTGCCGCTGCAGTTTAATCCCATGAATTTCTTCGGGTTGGTCTAAACCACCCGTGAAGTTCCAATAAGTGATCCATGCTCGTCGGTCCGCAAGTGCATCTTCAAAGTTCCAAGCTTGGTCCCTGTGGAAAAGGCAGGAAGGAAGCAATCTATACAAAATATATAGCTACCGTGTACCGTTTTCCCGCCTGGAGGAAAGTGATATGTTGGCAAGACTGCTCACTGTTAAATAATGGTTCAAAGTCCTCGTCCGCACGAGCTAAAACTGCACAAGGCATTCAAAAGCTCCAATGGTTCAAAGTCCTCGTCCGCACGAGCTAAAACTGCACAAGGCATTAAAATGCTCCAATGGTTTAAAGTCCTCGCCCGCACGAGCTAAAACTGTACAAGGCATTAAAAGCTCCAATGGCTTAAAGTCCTCACCTGTACGAGCTAAAACTGCACAATGCATCAAATGCTCCTTGCCTGCACGAGCTGAAACTGCACAAGGCATCAAATCTCAACAAATACCTGAACTACGAGTGACTTGATCACTCAAGAGGGTACGTAGGCAATCTAGGATTCGACCTAGGTGCAGTCACAAAATCAAACAAACACCAAAATCCTCAAGTTACATTTTATTCGAATTGGAATCAAAGGGTATTCCTTTCCTAAAAGAAGGGTTGTAATTAATAGGCGCATAGCCTAGAATGGGTCAAACTCGAATTAATAAAACCCTTTTCGGAAAAATGAACGAGGGTGAAATTGTGTCGAGTGAATTATTTGTTTACATATTATGTACAATTTTTGCTCAACACCTTCTTTCATACTATCCACTCCAGAGAGGGTTTGACTCGTTGACTGAGTTGAGGAAGAATCCTGATCTTGAAGGTTAATTCCAGATTGCTTGCTGTTGTGATAATTATGTAGTGGCACGCCCATCTTCAAGATTAAACTTGTGGAGGTAGATGGGTGTTGGACATGTGTGCCAGTAGATTTTTCCCTTTGATGAAGATCCAACAACGAATGGAAACGTTGAGTGGGCAGAACCAAAACAAGAGTTTTTCTTGGCACAATTCTGCATTTTCTAAAACAACTACTCGGGCTCGTCTAAAAAAATGTGGCGTTGAAGCTTCATAGATCTTCAAATATGTTCAAGTGAAAAACCTGAAGGTTCACTTAAATGACGGACTCATCAGCAACCAAGAATTTCAACTTGTCGAAATGCTGCCCAAGTAAAAAAGTACAGCACCAAACTTTAGTAACTATTTTACTTTTTATATGCACTGAACAATTGTGATAATGAAATCAATTCAAGAGGAAAGAAAAACAACAAAAACAGCAACAACAACAAAGCTTTATCCAAGGAACAAAATATCGATATTATTGGCGAAATATCGCCGATATTGTCGTTTTTTTTAGATACCGATATTTTCACACTTATCCCTTAATTATCGTCCATATATCGCGATATTATCAATAATATCGATAATATCGCGATATTATCAATAATATCGCAAATATTGCGATATTATCGCTAAGGGTAATGATTTTCTGGTATGCTTTTAAGTTTGGGCTGATGGTCCATTTGATAATCCCTCCACCAGCTTCTTCTTTATGACTTGGGCGATGTGGGACAACAGTGGTCCATTTTATAATCCCTCCACCAGCTTCACTTTATGCCTTGGGCGATGTGGGACAACAACAACAACTCTAATTTTGTTCTAGTGGTGGTTCCTCGTCTGGCTCGCGTTCTTCCGGTTCTACTTCTAGAGCCTATAATTTTGTTCTAGGTTTCTCGGTGCTGCACATGTTGGACTGCCTCATTTCTCTCCTTTTGATAGCTTTACTGGAGGGAAGATTCAATGCCAAATCTGCCGGCGTTTTGGTCACACAGCGATTGACTGCTTCATTCGCCTGAACATGTCCTATGAGGGATGTGTTCCATCATCATGTTTCACTGCTTATGCTGCCAGTTCATCTGCTCCCCGTACTGCTGCTCCTCCGCCACCTACAACTTGGCTCTTAAACTCTGGAGCCAACACCACATAACCAATGATGCTGCTTAGATCACAAATCATCCTTAAATAATACACGGGTTCTGATCATGTAAATGGTTTCAATGGGTGTAGGTTTGAACATCTCTCATATTGCAATTAGTTTATTCTGATATATGAAGTTATTCAAATTTATCTGTTTCTAGATTCTGTTATTATGACATATATTCATTGACGATTTTTCGCGATACACTTGTGGCGTCTTTGATTACCAAAACATAATCATGTACTATGTCTATATGATTTTGTATTAACACGTTGGATAAAAATATCACTCAAAATTTTGATATGGCTTTCAAAATTGACCAAACAGTTTTCTTTTTTCTCGAAACTAGATGATGTAAAATGTGATTAACCAAATTATTATTATTTTAAAAAAATAAAGAAAAATTAGTATCCAATCCCTAGTTTCTAATGTTCATTGACTAAGATCTTATCAGTTTTTATATTTTGATCAAAGTCCCTAGCATTAATGAATTACATGTAAGTTACATAACTTTCATAACAAAAATTAGTAATTGATTTAGAGTTTTAATACTCACATTCTTATTAAACTTCTAATTAATTTTCAATTCAAACATTTCAAATATATAAAAAATAAAATAAGAATAAGTTTGTACCCATTAATTTTTATAAAAAAATTGATATGTACCCGTTATAAGAATAAGTCACTCATGTATCTTACCATGCAATGTAAAAGTGTAAAATATTGTACTAATTCATTATATATAAATGATTATGGTGTGTTTAAACTTCTTTCATTAATTACTACATATTTTCTACACTCACAATGTTTGCCAGCTCGCTATATAATCAACTTAAATTAGTTAAATCCATCATGCAATGCATTTCCTTCCAATTTTTTGTGATAAACTAATAGATAATTAACTAAATAAACATCCTGCAAAGTTTCAATAAAAATTTCCAAGTTTTTCTTACAATTTCCGTGGTTTCCATATTATTTTTATCGATATCGATAATATCCCGATATTTCCATCGATATTTCCGTGTTTCTGGACTATCGATATTTCCGATATTACCGATATTTAATACCTTGGCCTTATCACACTAAGTGGATCAGCTATATAAATCTTTTAACGCCACTGCGCTTGGTTTTGTGTCATGTCTTCCCTTAGATCCAAGTAGTCCAAGTCTTCTCTTAGAGTCTCTTTCCAAGTCTTTATAAGTCTTCCTCTACCCCTCTACCTCTTTGGCCCTAAGCCTCAGTCTGGTAATCACATCTTCTAACCAGAGTGTCTGTAGGCCTTTATTTCATATGTCCAAACCACCTTGACCGATTTTCTCTCACCTTATCTTCAATTTCGGCTACTCCTAAGTCACATCGCATATCCTCGTTCCTAATCTTGTCATTTTATTGATATACATCTAACAAAGCATTCCCATCTCCTCTACACTCATTTTATACATGTGTTGATACTTCACCGTTCAGTCAAATAGAAAATTACTTGACTGAACAAAGATACTGATAACAAGACCTCCGTCCTATCAATTAGCACTCTCTACAAGGGCCGAGCAATTATCATGGCTAATGTGGCGGGCTAGTGATTCTTTTTAAACCACAGTACTAGTTCGGATCATTCATAAAACGCAGAAACTCAATGTACATGCTAACAAACCCTTTTTTCCCTCCCTCCATCCTAATTTAACTTTCACTCAACTACATAAAAAGCAAGGAAGACAACACCAATCAAATCACTACATTTACAGAATTCTTTTGATTTTATAAATTAAGTAATCAAATCAAACATGTACACTAATTATGAAATGAAAAGCACCACAAAAAGCTCCATGATTTTTAGAAAATCCCATCCTCAAATAGGAAACCATTTTATACATGCAATTAAACAATCAAAGAACAGAAAAAAAAAAAAAAAAAAAATCCAAGAACAGGAATATCTGTAAAATCAGCAAAACATATGAGTCTAAAATCTTTACCCAAAATAATTATCAAAAGAAAAATGATATAAAAAATAAGCCTTACCGAAATAAGAAATCTTTAACCCAGTAAAAGCACTACAAGATCAGCCTCACCAACTTAAGCTCCACATGCAACCAAACC